TGTTCGCGTTTCGAATTGTCGCGACTGAGCTACGCCATTTCTGGATGAATTGGAGTATCTGTTCTGGTGACGATCCGGAAATGGTGTTAAAAAGTTGGTCCTTGATTCGAACGACATTTGCCCAGGTGTTCAATGAGTGCGCATTTTTGAGCATCTCGTACAATTGACGTGACGATACCAAGTAGCGAAAGATGTCGTCGATGTGGGGTAGAATTGCCGCGGATTCTGGTGACAGTTTTGCGAGAATGACAGCTCGGGCTGCAGCATCGACTCTCCACCAATGGTCCCATAGAATGTAGTCCATGGTGCCGATTTGAGCTCCTGGTGGTGGTGGATATGTTGCAATGATATAAGAAAATCCACCTTGGTTGTCGAGGATATTTCCGAGTAATCCACAGGGCGCAAGGGTGGATTTCAGCGACATGTCCCAAGCATTCCAGGATGATGGGTCTGACAGCGATAGCGTCGGCATATCCTTCGAGCTCGGGTTCGGGATTGGTGGAAGGATGATCTGCTGATTCTGCTGCTGTGGATGATGGTTCTGCTGTTGAATGTACGGCTGATTCTGAATGTAGTGGTATTGTTGAACAACCGGAGCTGCTGGCACCGCTGGAAGAGGGTGCTGTTGGTTCGCATTTGCAGCAGCTGTAGCAATGGCAGCTTGAGTCGGACCAGGAGCTAGGGTCTGGACTGCACGGTTGGCAGCTGGAGTTACCGGTGGAACATTCTGGTTTGCTCCAGGAGTCACCGCAGGATTTGCCGCAGGAGCCGCTGCTGGTGTCGCTGCGGGAGCTGCTGCTGGCGTCGCTACAGGAGCCGCTGCTGGCGTCGCTGCAGGAGCCGTTGTAGGCGCCACTGGGCCTCCTGGTGGAACTGCAGGGGTCTGTTCGTGGTTTTGCGGTGCCTGGTTTGACGCGTAATGTGCGATTTGAGCCTGGTTCCAGTGTGGAGGCCAGTCTCGTTGGTTCAGGTTCGGAAATGAGGGTGGGGACTGAATTGTCTGAATGCTGGTCGATGCAGGAAGGGTCCAGTTTGGTGTATATGCGGCTGGGCCAGAATTGAAAAAATTCTCTGCTGAATTCGAAGCTGGAATTTGCTGATTTGTGAAATTGGACTGGGGAAATGAATGATACGGCTGATATCTGTTGAAAATGCCTCCGTGGGCTGTGGTCTGATTCATTGTTGAATGGAAAAAATTCGAGTTCAGCGTCATAAGGGGATTCAGGTTCATGAGGTCCATGTGTCTGGATGGGTCTGACCACGCTCCAGGGTTCATGGTGTATTGAGATTCGGATTTGCGATGATTATGGGGAATTTATGGGGAAATAATGCCGCGGCTGCAGAATGATGCGAGCGTCGGTCTTGATCTGAGCAGCGGTCGCAGGCTGCGGTTAAATCGTGCGATATTCGTATCCGTCAAGAAAATGGGCTCAAGACGGGGCCCATAACCTGTGAAGCCAGATCCTAGACGAATACAAAATGAGTCTGGTAATATAATAAGTCATTGTGAAACTGTGGATCTAAGGAAATACTGACCTCTCTGGTGCGCACTAGAACGTTGAGTGACAGAGAGGTCGGGATCGGAACTGGTCGGTATAAGAGAACATGTGACTACCGGCAAATGCCTTGCTCTGCTCTAGACGACAAGTCAACACGGTGCAAGCGCTGGCCATGACGCGACGACGAGAGACAAGGTCTGGAGTCTTGTTGAAATCTCGCTCTGCACAACAGTCCAAATGCGGACGTTGGGAAATTGGCCAGGTTTGACGAAATCACGCTGCACCACGGTCCTAATACGAAGTTAAGGAAATTCGCTGGGTCGGTGCAAGATTGCGCCAGGTTCCTGCTTGGGGACACCAATCTTGGTAGGAATGGTGGTACCAGAGATAGTGGTTTCGCTGGAGAAGAGGTTAGAGATAGAAATTAGATAACACAACTGGACTTACATAGCAAAGCCATTCAAGGCCATGATGGCAAAGATCAAGCCAGATGTGATATGAATTTGGACCATGGTGAAAGGTTTGGTTGGATGAAAGCGTAAAAAGAGTCATGAAGATTGGATTGAGATTGGAGTCTCGTACAACGAGGAAGAGTGTAGTTTGTCGATTGAAGGGGTAAGACCAACTGGAGAATTACCATCGAAATTCGAGGCTTTTATAGGAAATGTGGCCCCAAGGATGACGACGCGACTTTGATACGACTTTGATACATCAGATGGCGACCATAATATGGTCGCCAGAAGAATAAAATCTTGTGGACTCCGATCGTCGTTGATGTGACGTCGATCAAGCTGCAGTTATAAATTGCCTGAAATGGAGGAACTCAAAATGACTTGATTACGTGACTGATATTAAAGAGCTACGGGTTCGAAAGCAGGAACTCCAAACCTATCGCAGAATGAGTATCCAGGAAACGTACTGAAATTGATTGCTTACCCCAATGTGCGGGATGTGGCCAGAGAAAACGGTTGTGGTCCATATGCCGATGACCTAGCCGAACATAGAGAGAGAGAGAGGACCTTGGATAGAGAGAAAACCCGTAACGTCAATGGTCAGACTGGCTTGGGGTCCATATCATACAATTGCTTTGCATCTGCATCCGCATGGATGACGATGAAATCCAAAGTCCCATTGGTCTCGTCGGTTATCCTCATTTCGTTGACAAAGAGATGAATCTATGTCAAATTACGTCGGAAAGAATCAGATGGAAGAACAAACACAAGATCTTAGATTGCGTCGAGTCCCTGACAATTTCCACTTTTTCCAAAATGTCAGGAGTATGTTCAAGCTGATTTTCATCGACATACCTGAGCCTTTTTCAGCATCATAACATGCATGCGATTCTCTTGGACCCAACTTGGACCTTCTCTGCAAGCGATTTGGGTGATACATATATAGAGACTTGAGTGCTGCATTGAAAATGGGTAGTAAGGGTCAACTCGAACCACGAGATGAGGCAAGCATATGGCCAGCTTTAACAGAGAGAGGCGCTTCCTGGTCCACCTTTAGAGTCAGAATTGACACGTTTTCAGCAAAGAAAAGTTGGCTGGTTTGAAGCGGTAATAGTGCACGCCAGAATGCTCAAGGCTTTGCTTGACTGGATTTCTATTACGAGTCCTAAAAATTTATTTTTAGTTCACTCGTTTTTTGTTACCACTACATTGGCTTGTACTGAATATAAAAGGAAATTGGCATTCCCTATGAAAAGTCCGAGATTTCTCCGGTCATGTGTTCGATCCCGTCCTTGACTTTCAATTATATATATTCCATCATTCCTCGTCTTCCCTCGTGCCTTTGATATCATGCTTGTACTTTTTTCTTTCTTTGATCTGTCTTTTGTTATTCAGGCTTATAGCCACTTGCTGATGGCACGTATGTGTCCTCAGGGGGTTGTACTCAAACTATTTCAGATTGTATAATATCATTCAAGAAAATTTGGGCTAATGGATCTACCTACTTACATGTGGTTAGCCACAGAGCGTCATTGGAATGATGTGAGAGAGGTCACAATTAAACACAATTATGGAAATAGACTCAAGCCTCACCAACATTGATAGCATTATCCTGTTGGTTCTCTGATTGTTCTTCATTCAAAGTATCCTCATGATCATCAAAAAGTGCACCGTTATCTTCTGCGTTGTCCCATGACGGCTTGATGCCGCTATCGGCTTTACCCTTCTGTTTGCATTGTGGATGACAATGGCCAATCTAACGCTCCTTGAGGCAAGCATTCACGTATGCTGGACTTTGAGCTGATCAATGCTCATGATGCTCTCCCAACCATATTATGTGACTTGTGGTCTCAAAATCCATCTCGCTGGGCAGCAACATTTACCAATATGAATGATTATCTTCAGGTTTTATCACAAGGTCTTGGCAAAGTTGGCCTGCAGAATGAAACTATGGAATTGGTTAGAGATGCTGTGCGAGAGCTGTTATTCAACACAGACCCTGTTATATTCCACATGAATGCATCAGGTACATATCTAGATTGTCTGTCTGCTGAGCTGCTGTGAGTTCCACAATGTTTGACGACTCAAGTTATACATTGTACATCATGTAGTGATCAGACACTTCAAGGATCTTTGAATTACCACCATGTTGTGGCTCTAAGATGCGGGGGTGGTAGAACCCAGGCTTTGAATTTCTATCAAACTCAGCGGTGGAAGTCCTATCCCAGATGCCGCCAGAATGCTTCAGTCACAGAGACCTATGATCTGCCCCCAAAGGTTATGACTATGGAGTTGGCGTCAGGCAGTATGACCCATTATCATGCAGCAAAGACTATCAAAGTATTACATGGTAATAATGACACCGCTGTGATGGCTTTGCGTGGAATTACTTACTTTGTCAACAGAAACCATTTCTTAGTCTGCATTATCACAAAGGATGACCAAGTTTGGTATAATGATGGTATGGTGGATTGTGGTCGGTCTAAATCAGACGGTAAACTTTCCGATTTCACTTTGGGAGAGCTGTCTACCTGTGAAGGTGAGCAGGCATCATTGGCAGTATATTCACATCTCTACTCTCAATATTTGGTTTCAATGATATATGATTATTATTGACTTTGAGTGTGACCCCTTGAGGACTCATACCTGCCATCTGCGAGTGGCTATCCATCCAACTTGTCGGATCCTAGGGTCACGTTAGCTCAAGTTGAATTCAGAATCTCGCAAGGTCAGGTTACAGGTGATTCACCAGTTTGAACAAGTTTGGCCAAGCAGATCCCTTGGAAGGCTGAAGGGTGGTGCTCTTAACCGTTTCCTCGAGGATGAGTCGTTAGGTGGCTTCAGAATGGGACACAACATTGAGGACGGGATCAAGAGGTCTCCACCTGTTACCCAGGTCTTCCATCAGGTCTAGTTTGGAATGTTAATACACAACTTGCAGAAAAGGGTCGATAAAAGTGCGCATACACGTCAATGGTTTCCCGGTTGGTTTTTTCGACTTCTGAGATGAAAAACAAAGCGATTCCATACTGGATTCCTGCAAAAAGACTGATTCGACCCAGACTCGATCTGAGGACCTTCTGTGCTCAGTTTTAACTGTTAGACAGATGTGATAACCAACTACACCATCGAACCATACGAGGCAGCTTACAGCGGCCGATGGTGATCCTCGTTGGTAATATGACAGAAATCTATGTCGATTTAGCCCAGAGTTCTCACCGAAGGAGTGCAAGAAATGCGGCTGCACGAAGAGATTTCGTGCGCCACTCGACGGTGAAAGCTGGTGAAAGACAAAACCAAAATGGTTTCGTGACTGACACGTGCTCTTCAGATCAAATTCCGACTCTCCACGATACTTAATCATTACACAACATCTTCACAGCGTCTATATAACAGCTACGGCCGCGTAATCATTAGGGAACCAACGGGTGGTCACTGGACAGGATGACTGAAGACGGTCTCGACGGGTGCTCACCAAATGCTCTTTTTTCAGTCAGCTGTTGGGAAAACGAGCCGGAAACGAATCGAAGACTCCGAGACTGAGATGTCTCGCAGCCCTGGGCATGTCGTCCCAAATACAATTTACATAACGGTGAGCCTGCATATCGATATCTCGAAGGTATCACTCAAGAACAGTCCAAGGCGAAACAGACAACAGGCCATTGATCCCGCCTCCCGACCTTTTGCCGTCTTTCAGTCGTCTTTCCGAAAATCCCCGCCTGAACCAGCACCCCGAAACCATTGGCGGTGACATCTCAGAATGACCTATGACAAGTTGAATACTCGTGATAGCTTGCTAATACGACATGTCGGTTCTCGTCACACCGCCGTTCACGCCCGAAGCGCTCGACGGTTTTTCACGGGTACACAACCCGTGAACCTCCCAACTTATTTCAAAGCTAAAGATGTCTACAGAACCTGTCGTCGGAACAATGCCGTACTCATCCGCAAAGCCTGGACCACTGTCATGAAGCACTATTTAAGGCGAAGTCCCAAGAAGCTTGGGCTCTTCAGTTTCTTTCCGCACTATCATGTCTGCCACCAACAAATCTATGCCATATGGTGAGCTTTTGTCGCTGCTTCTCCGCGAAAACCTCATTAATGCTGCCAGTACGCCTGGGATCCTCGGGTCTCAAGGTCTCGAAAATCATTCTGGGATGCATGAGGTGAACATTATTCTCGACAAAGTCCGCCCTTGTTGACTTTCTTTTTGTAGCTATGGCACTCTAGAATGGGCAGGTTGGGTCCTGCCAGAGGAAGAAGGTATCAAGCATATCAAAGCCGCGTACGTGCTTCATTTTCTTCGATTTCTGCTCTAACAGTCGCTCAGTTACGATACTGGAATCAACACCTTTGACACGGTGAGACCTGATGTATCGTCAACCGCTATCACCTTGACTCATGACCTGACAGGCAGATGTGAATTCCCCATTGAATCGCTGTATCGGCCGCAAGTGCTAACTCCCGCTTCCTAGTCTTACTCGATGGGAGAATCAGAAGTTATACTCGGAAAGGCTATCAAGCAGCACAATCTCCCAAGAGAAGAGATTGTCGTAATGACAAAGGTCAGTTTCTCGTCAAAAGCTAGCTCCCGCTCAACGTGGTTCTACCAGCTCTTCTTTCTCGTCGGAAAAGATATAACACGATTCACCCTCAGTCCAGCTGAGAGGAAGGCCGACTCAGCTGATCATGTTAATCAATATGGACTCAGCCGCAAAGTAACATTTTGAAGCTCTTGCACCAACTGAAGCTCATTGGTCTTTCAAGCATATATTTGACGGGGTCAAACAGAGCTTGAAACGTCTGCAGTTGGACTATATCGACGTACTGCAATGCCATCGTTTCGACGATGATACGCCCATTGCAGAAACGGTTAGAGGAAGCTTCAACGATCTTTGTTCAGGACTAACTGCTCTTTAGATGGAAGCTTTGCATGATTGTGTGAAAGCTGGATATGTGCGGTACATCGGAATGTCGTCCTGCTACGCTTGGCAATGTCAGTTTCTTCTCCTTTCTCCATTGAATCCTTTGCTGAAATTCGACCACAGTCCATGTGATGCAAAGTAAGCTTTCCATCCAATCATGGTGGCTTGATTGTGGCACAAACTCAACCTCTTTCAGACTACGCCATAACACATGGATTGACACCTTTCATTTCGATGCAGAACCACTACAACCTGCTATACAGAGAAGAAGAGCGCGAGATGTTTCCAACGCTCAAGGTTCGTCTTTCTCGTCTTTCGTTATAAAGCGACTGAGGATCTTGAACAGCATTTTGGCGTCGGTTCGATCCCCTGGTCTCCGCTTGCTCGAGGACTCTTGACTCGACCATTCATTGCTGCCAAAGACGGAGCTGGAACAGGCGACACCAAGCGCGGTGAAACTGATACTCTGCTTGCGAGATACACTACAGCTCCAGGGACCCCTAGTATCATTCCACGGTGCGTTGTAATCCTTCAGTCATTTCGCAGTGACCGAATTATATCAATCAGGGTCAGTGAGATTGCAGAGAAGAGGAATATCAGCATGGCACAAGTAGCTATTGCCTGGGTCTTGAGCAAAGAGGGTGTCAGTGCGGCGACTGTTGGGACGACTTCGTTGAAGAACATGAAAGATATCATTGGTGAGTTGTATCCAGTCATACAAGTCCAGCCATTGATGTCATCACATAGCTGCTGTGAACGTCAAACTGACCGAAGAAGAGATCAAATACTTGGACGAGCCATACCAAGCGCAAGGTATCGTCGGTTTTGCATAAGGCTGGTCGAGGATGAAGCATGTAACGTAAGTATTATATCGACAGGCTTCTCTAATTACAGAAACGTATGTGTCGAATTGTAAAACGGGTTTTCAACTTGTTCGGGATCAAAGGCTGCTCGGTCAGGAAGGAAGCCACCGAAATGAAGACACGACTTTGTTTCCCGGAAGTAATGCGAGCAAAGGGAAACCAGAACTATCTGGCATGTCTGGTGACGCTTTTAGTCTCGAGTGGCGGATTCGGCATCGAAGTAAGAGGTCGAGGAAGGTCTGGGCGTCTTTCGGGTACAAAAGTTGAAAAAAGGTGACCACTAAAACGAACATCAGTAGGCTGAGTGTATGTTGGAAGAGGTGAGCAGTCATCGTACCAGTTTTGTCTCTCCTTCAATTCAGCAGTCTTCCAATGATCTCCTTGTCTTCTTCTAGGCTTCATTCCCCATTCTGAATTCGAAAATAAGATAAGCCCGACAGTCAAGCTGCAGTTGCTCCGGCTGTGGATGATATAACGGGCGAGCTTGCCACTATGAAGGCGAGAAGGTCGACAGAGAAAGATGGCCCCGTGTCGTCTTGCAAGGTTAGAGATGGACTTGATGAAGCCTCTAAGACGAGGTGAGATATAGTTTGGGATGCGGAGATTCAACACGAGCTCACCTGTCGCAGTGACTCGATAATGTCTCTCCTTTGGCTGCGTAGTATCTGGCTTCTTCCTTCTCGCTTCTTTCGCCGTCGTTCTTCGTCCGAATCCGTGGTTTCTCTTGCCACATCATCATCCAGCTTCTCTTCCTCTTCACAGTCGCATTCCAGTGCTCGTTGCTTTTTTCGAATACCAAAAGGTGGCACGACTGAATCAATCATGAGCATGAACAGTAAATGATACAGAAGGGGCTCACCCGTCACCATGATGTCTTCGGATCTGTCCTTTATCTGAACGAAGAATCTCCTTGTCTCCTTCCTCATCTTCCACATTGGTTTTTTTTTAAACCTTCGGGCTTGAATTCGAATGTTCGTGTAAGCCCTTGGTTCGAGCTGCGACGCAGACGCAGACAAGGACAAAGGATGTCGATGAGTCGAGCTGCAGGCCATGGATGGTATGGAGGCCTGACGGCAGCTATCGAAAAAGCAGGGTCGATGTAAAAGGGAAAAGGTCGAGTCGAGCAAGTCGCTGAAAGGACTATGAGCATATAAGTGGCAGGGCGAGGAGAAGAGCTCACCAAGTAGTCGCTCTGGCTACGCAGTATCTTCTTTTTCAGTTTTTCTCGTCCGACGTCTCACTCCGCTTTTCTGTTCTCCCCAACTACCGACTCTTTTCCGTCGCATGTCATTTTCTTGTCGCTTGATTTGGAACAGGAGGTCCAGGCAAGAGCATTTGTAAAACAGAACGATGTCGACGCGGCGGTGAGACCCTTATCGACGAGCCGATGGTTTGGTCAGAGGCGGTAAAGCCAGGCGACCATGGGTCGTAGCCATAGCCCGTTGAAGTCGCTCTGATGTCCGGCGGTACCAGATGGATGAGAAAGCGAGCATCGCCAGCCTTCACCTGAAGGCATCCGGTCGGTCTTTCCTTGGGATAGCGGTAGGGGCAATGACAGCCATGGAGTCGTTCCAGCAATAATATTACTGGTCAATAATGCGCGATTCATTTACTAGAAAATAATTCTAGCAAAAATCAGGTGTATCAGCGGAAAAGAGGTAATCCGACGTACAAAGCGTGAATAGGGTACTCCGGGCTATGATCTCCAGCAGGAGATGATGCAGCAGTTCGGACTAGGATAATTGACTGAAGAGAAACAATTGGTCAACAATTGGTCGCGGACAAGGGCAAGCCGCAAAATGTTCACATGACCCAACAACGTTCCTCTCGACTACGACTGCGCGACTGCCTAAAGGTGTTCATCGTTTCCTATAGATGATAAGGAAGATAAGACCGGTTTTTACTGGGGTTTTCTGAAGCGTCCACTCAAAAAGAAAATACTCGCAGAGATAGAGAGCGGAAAGATGCCGTACCGTGGCTCCGACCGCAAAGCGTCATCCGGCCTCCGCCATTCTCATGACGGATTATTTAAAGCTCAACCGTAGGATTGAGCTCCTTAGTCTCTTTTCCCATCATGTCTACCACGAAATCCATGCCATATGGTAACCTCTTCTTCAATCCTCATTATCAACAAAACCTCATCGATGCCTTCTAGTTCGCCTTGGCTCGTCTGGTCTCAAGGTCTCCAAGATCATTCTAGGCTGTATGAGGTGAGCATATTCTTGACGCAAGTGGAGCTTGTTTGACTTTTTGCAGCTATGGCTCTCCAGAATGGGCCGGTTGGGTCCTGCCAGAGGATGAGGGCATCAAGCATATCAAGGCGGCGTATGCGCTTAATTTTCTCGAT